TAGACAGCAGAAAGCAAGGGGGAAATAGAGCTCCTAGCCCCAACATGAAACACTACCACTGCTACCATGTAACTATTTAGTGAGCATCTGCCCAGAGCACAAACTCTGGGACCAGCCTTACCTTATTCGACATTTCATCTGTGCTACTTTGCAGTTATGAATTGGGTTGAGTTGTTCAACCTGCTCCTTGACTCAGTTTCCTCTTCTCTAACATGGGGCTAATGGTTATCTCTCAGATAGAGTTGTTGTAAGGATTAAATAAATTAATATATGTAGAACTTTTAGAATAGGGACTGTGCATCCTAAACACTGTATTCACTATGACTTTCCTCTTCTGCTGCCAACTCCTGTTACTAAAACCTGTTACCAGGAATCCTGCTTAACACTAAGCATTTATTAAACTCTTTCCATCCAGTCCTGCATAGCTTCTGTACTTTCTTAGTATCCAAAATTATTAAATAGATTTTTATGTTTTAAATTAGCATTATAGCATAATATCATTTAATCATTAGTACTACTTTTGGGTGGTGCAATGAATTGAATCTAGGGCTTCACATATGCTAGGCAAATGCTCAACTGCTAAGCTATAGTCAACTCATTAGTATAATTTTAGGGATAGGTAATGCTATTTCTTGATGTTACTATTTATCCTGGTATAAAATGATGATCAAATTTGGATATATGGATTTTATCAGTAATATGCAAAAAAATTATGCATGTGACTGTGTAGCACAAACTGTAGCTATGGAAGCCAGATGTGGGCCCCATATTTCCATAACTGGGGTCCTGGGAAGAGCAAGCAGTGCTCTTAACTGCTGAGCTATTTCTCAAGACTCAGCAACATCTTTTTAAAGGGCAAAGTCTTCCCTGAAGAGGTATTCTGAAACCCCACATTCCTAGCGGTATTTGCAGTTAGAAGATTCACTCATGCTTTCTTCTCTCACCCAGCACTCTCTGCATCTCTGTGGAGTGCAGGATGTGGAACGCTGGGCGGTAACACCGAATAAAGGCACTTTCCTGAAGGACTCTGTGATGAGAGGCAGAGGAAACACTGGGAAAGACTGATAAAATGGAAATTTAAATTGATGATCAGTTATTTTCAGGGAAGGCTGTGGGATAAAGTACTCTGGGCAGGAGTTGAAAATAATTATAATCAGAGGTTGACAATAGCTCTATTATGTACATAAGTATTGTACCATTCCTATAAATAAATGTAAAATGCGTGATGGAAGGAGGCAGAATGGGAACTATGGCTGACCATGCTGCTCGGAACTAGAACTGAAACTCAAGTTTGTAATTTCATAGATAGGAAAATGGGAACTAACTATACAAGTTTTTTTTTTTTTTTTTAAAGATTTACTCATTATGTATACGGTGGTCTGCCTGCATGTGTGCATGTATGCCTGCAGGCCTAAAGAGGGTGCTGGATCTCATTATAGATGTCATGAGTCACCATGTGGTTGCTGGGAATCGGCCTCAGGACCTCCAAAGGAACAACCAGTGCTCTTAACCTCTGAGCCGTCTCTCCAGCTCCTATACAAGGTTTTGTTTAATAAATTATTTCAGGAAGACAAAGACAAGTGAAACAAAAGACAGGAAAAGGGTTAGACTATGACAGCGAGAGGCTGGTATGAAGGTTAATATCTGATGAAGCCAGGCCCTTTCAACCAAGGGCCTTTAAAATACTGGCCCAGGAATCACCAGCTAGAGTGAGTAGGCTGGGCCTTGGTGACAGAGGCCTGCCCTTGTCATCTACTGTTGCAGTACGAAAGATTTCCACACTAGCCCAGAATGAAATATAATAAAGGCTTGCTTATTAGGGGGTAAACTCAGAAAGAGGAGTGATCGCAGTCCTCTGCAAGCTCCAAGAACTGGAACTGAAGCCAGCAGCCAAGTGGATTTAAGAACATGAGACCACGCCAATATCTTAAAGGCTATTGGCTGAAGGGGTTCCCACAGCAGGTATACGCCTGGATTTGGGAGTTAGAGGCAGACTTACAGTGAGTTTAAGGCCAGTCTAGGCCACAGAGGTCATCCAGGAACACATCCAGGAACAGGGAGACCCTACCTCAGACAGAACAAAGAGCGAAAACACACGTGGGTGGGGGAAACCAAATTAAAAAAAAAAAAAAAAACAACTCAACTATTTGAATGAAAGGCCAAATTCAAATGATTTGAAGATGTGAAAATACTCACTTGGATGGAGAGTGTGATGGCAAGGAAAAGCAGAAGACTTGACCATTTCTAGCTTTGGATGAGAGCAGATGACATTAAGAGTCAAAACACAGAACCAAAGCGAGTCAGGAGAGGGGAAGAAGGAATAGGCTGTCTAGACATGCTGTGCTAAGCCACTGAAATAGGCTGAGAAACTGGCAGTTGGAAACTTGGGTCTGGAGCCTGGGCTAAAGTTGGAAGCGGAAATGCTAGCCCTGTGACAGAACAGCCGAAACTACGGGAGGCGAGGTCGTCTGGCTAAAGAAATAGGGACCCACGAGAGAAACCCCCAGAAGTTTAAGGAGTGGACAGAAAGGGGAGCATTAAGAGAATGATAAAGAACAGTAGTAACCAAGAAAGACAAGCAGAGGAACTTACAGGAAGAGGTGGCTAACTACATCCACTGACTGGTACAGGAAGGTGGCCGGACTCAGAACATACCAACGATGGGCAACTGTGACCTTACCTAACAGCGACCTCAGGAAAAGCAGAGTGAAGCTGGCGTGAGTGGGCAGCAGTTAGGGCAGGGATACCCAACTCTGCAAGTCTGCTAGTTGTAAATGGCATCTATGAGGGTCTAGCATCTTCACAGTGCAGATCTGTGCTTTCTATACAGAAGCAACGAGTCTTGACTGGTAGTTTATGAACAGCATAGGTGTATTTCAAAACTTGGGAATAATAAAAAAAAATAAGTTAAAGATTCTATCCATCTAATACACACACACACACACACACACACACACGTAACTATTTTGCCCTAGGTCTTAGACTAGAACACACCCTTAGAAAAGGGTAAGAATCACAACTTGGCCTTTAACTGGGTTTATCATGAAAGCTGTGAGCAAGCATTACAGCACAGTCATGTGCCACATGTTTTGACCACAAATGAGGTTCAGATATGATATGGTCCCAACAGATCCCATCTCTTAGTGACATCATAAACAGCTTCTACATGTTAGTATTTGCAGAGTACAACTGCCCGAGGTTACATTTCTCAGAATCCATGCCCGACAAGTCACAGACAGCTGGAAGTAAAGACACCAGTGGGTGAGTTTAGCTGCTTACTTCCTCTGCAAATCAGTTAGCTGGCCTTAGGCTTCTAGTGACTTAAATGTCAAAAAAGCATAGGATCTTGGCCCCTGCCATTTGCTTAAAAAGACCTGGATATGTCAGCACCAGAAGTGATCTCTTGGCCATGAAACTCTGGTCACAGCTGCAGGGCACTCCTGCTGTCCCATTTACACTCACCCAGGGCCTTTTATGGGAGACCTGGCTGTTAGGGCGCAGACAGCAAGACAAAAGGCACAGTAGATTTTCCTTTACTGTGTTTGTTTGTCATACCATTGCTGCTCCTCTGCAGTCCAAGACTTCTCTATAACTTTTCTAAAAGCAAAGCAAAGAGACCCCTCCGCCCCCCTTAACTCAACAGCCTCTTGTGTGTGGTATGTATGTGCAGTGTATAAGGGTATACATCTCTGCACGCACATAGAGGTCAGAGGGCATCAGATTCCTCCTTTAGCAATCTCTGCTTTACTTTTCTGAGGTAGGATGTCCCCCAGAAAGTCAGCAAGTCCCTGTAATCCTCTAGTCTCTGCCTCAACCCGGGCTGACACATTTGGGACCATAGTGGATCCTGGGACTTGAACTCATGGTTGTGCAGTGATGCTTTTTGACCACTGATCCACCTGTCTAGCTCCCCAGCTAATACCCTTCCAGTCCTGTGACTGTAAGTATAAGGATACCTTATGTAATCAATGGCAGCAAGGGATCTGATCTTCAGGGACTCTTATCAGGGAATGCCCAAGTAAACTTTCAGGAGTTACTGCACTCAAATCTTTACTTTGAGTAGCCATTTTGAGATGCATTGTGAGAAATGATTATTTCTGTATAAATACAGGCTAGAACAACAGTGACACCTCAGGGCAGAGGTTCTCAAAATGCAGACTGCGGCCCCTTTGACAAACATCGGTCTCGGAAAATATTTACATTACGATTCTAAACAGTAGCAAAATTACAGTTATGAAGCAGCAACGAAAATAAGTTTATGGTTGAGAGTTACCACAACATGAGGAACTGTATTAAAGGGTCACAGCATTAGGAAGGCTGAGAACCATTGGTCTAGAGACTAATGATAATATTGTGTAGATTTGAGATTTTAATATAAAACTCACTCATGAGGTCCTAAGTTTGGTTCCTAATACCAAAGAACAAAGTTTCCTAATAAAAAGCCAGTCATCAAATGTAACCTTGATACCTTAAGCATGTTTTAGCACACTGGAAACTCTACAATACTGCTTCAAATTTGGCTGCCTCAATTTTTTAATGTTCTGTGCATTTTAAAGAGGGACTTAAGAAACCAGCAGAACATTTCCATAGTCCCTTGGGTCTTTTTGCCAGTCTCTCGCTAAGGAAGCATCTGTCATACTGGCCAAATAGCAACTGAAGCTGGCATAAGAGACAATGACTCGGTGCCTCTCAAGTCAGGCACTTCATACTAACTCCAGGTGGGGACAGTGATGACAAATCCTTCCCTGACCCTAAGTCATGGAACAAAAATCTGGATGTGATTCTGTCTATGCTGGATTACACATTTCATGTTGAAGCAATACAGGTAAGTCAGTGGTCTGAATGTTTTTTCCAATGAAAATAACAAGGTTGCAGCTCAGAAATAGTCTGTTTTAAGAAAACATGGCCAACTCCTCACTGCCTAGAAAACCAAGCAGTTCTTTACAGTCTAACATGAAAACGTACTTTTTCTATTTTTCATAGAACTGAACATCTATGACCAAAATGTAAACAAGGTAAATTTTAATATTTTGATTATTCATTCAATGATAACAATAGTGTCAGTTTCTCTGGTCTCTTGACTTTACTGTATAGCTAACTACACATCTACTTCTATATATCTAGGTAACCTTTAGGTTATTTTGGCAACTTTGGTTGGGTTGCTGGTGACGAGGCCCTGAACTGTCACCCGATACAGAAGTAGAAAGCAGCATTGGATTTTTTCCCCTTGTTCTTGGGTTTTGCTAGTCTTAGAAATTTGAAAATGACAATGAGGATTTTTGAATATATCTAAAAATTTAAAAAATTACCAATAACAAAGATAATGACTTATGTTCCATTTACTAGTGTTAACACTGAAGACCCCTCATAATCCCACAGGGGTAACTAGAGGTGAGCTGTTCAACCAATGGTCATCTTATGTAGACACACATCGCTCTGATGAACTTCCTCCCACTACAGAAGGGAGACAATCTTAGAGTTGTCTGAGGTGTTGCAGCACGTCTACCGATAGTCCCAACTGTTTCACTAAGTTGGCCGTCTGTTCCAGAATCCAACTGAGGCTTGGTTTTTCCATATGTGCGTGCTCCTGTGTTCTGCAACAGTCTGAAGGGGAACAATCTTTCCCGCTAGGACTCTTGTCAGAGTTTTTGTTAAACTCAGCACTATTTTCACAGAGTGTTTCATCTTTAGCTTCATCAATCTTTTTCTCAGCTGGAGCTACATGACAAAGGTCCATATCCTCAATGGAGTCCAATAAATCTGTAACTTGGGGCTGTGGAGTGACTGACTGCAGACGTTTAAGCACACACTCTTCACACTGGCCGACTGCATCCAGAAGATTATTTATTTTACTGATCAAAGTCGAACTACTACCGCGAAGGTGACACCAGGAGAGCAAAGCACTGAGCGAAAATATAAACAAGAGTTAAATAGGAAAAATTCAAATAGTCACAGGCATTTGGAACTCTAGGCCCTACATGTTTTCCTTCTAGACAACACCACCATGCAGAAATAGATTAGCAATAATAATGCATGTCAAAATCAGGAAAGTAACGATGTAAATAACACAAAAAGAACAAACAAAGCATCTTTTAATACAAGTTAACCAAGACTTAATCATATAAACTGTTTATAAATTATACCCCCTTCACAGCTTCATACCAATTTTTTTTTATTTTATATTTTCCCAGACCGTATAACTTCTATGCAAGAAGATATAATTTACATAAAGCCAGAAAAACCAGTTCCTTCTTTTCTTTCCTTTAAAAAAAAAAAACCTAGGCTTGTTAAACTATTAGAAAGACAAAATATTATCAAGACGAATACTTTAAAGACTGTCAAATACTTTAAAGCTGTGTCAATGACATCTCTAATCAGTGTTTATTTCTTAGGAGTGCTCAATATTTAATGGAGGCATCAGGCATACTTAAATTTCTCAAATTACCTCAGTGTTCCCCTGAGTAGTCCATAGTTTACAATGACTTCTGCCCCTTCTTTATATCCTTGATTGAAGCCCTGTTGAAGAGTAACTGCTTTGCCGGCATCTACTCCATCTCTGTAACCTTCCTAAAGACAAGAAACTGATTGTAACTGACACCAAGTCAATCTTTTCTCGAGAAGCACAAAGCACAGAATCCGTTCTGAAAATAGATTTAGCAGGTTTGTATTACGTTAACTGAGTTGATATGGCAGAGACATGAGTCCAAAGCAGGAGGTTTCTTCTAAAACCCAACTATCGGTCTGCCCTTCCTGACCACATTTGTTTCCAGCCTGGCCTGGAATTCCTAATCCTACTCCTCATCCTCCTAAGTGATGACAGGCATGTGCCTCGACGCCACATCCTCAGCTCACTTTGGAATCCAGTGCTGCCTCGTAAACGTTAAACACCAGTTTATGTTAGGTTCTTTTTAATAACTGTTCAGTCGTGGGAACTCCACGTCTGGTCTTGGTAACTTACTAGAACAGGGCAGTTAAGAGAGGAAACTATTTTAGGAATAGCACAGAGGAAGTCTGAACTTAGAAATCTAATCTGAATGAGACATAGAGATTTTGTCCTCTTATAATTGGTCTAGCCCCAGATTCCCAAGGCATTTTTTATAATGATATCATGGCTGTTGGACTCAACAAATATCTCGCTGGAACATTGTTATGGTAGATTATCACAACTGCAGCTTTAAAAGGACAATTAAATGGTTGGTAAATATATTAGGTGGGCACAGTTCTTTTTGCCTTTTACTTTTTAATTTAATTTTTTTTTTTTTTTTTTTTTTTGCAGGGGTGAGGGGCGTTGCGTACCATAACTTGAGTGTGAAGGTCGGAAGGTAACTTCCAGGAGCCTACTCTGTCCTTCCACGATGTGGGTTCCAGGGATGGAACTCAGGTCATTATACTCTGGAATCCACCTCTCTGTGGACGCAGATCTGACCAGTTCTCACCTAGAACTAAGCTGATTCTACCCAGATATTATCAAGCAAGTTTCAGTGAATGGTGAGAGAGAGACCCGGAATGAATGATACATTTACAGTAAAACTGAAACAGTATCTCCTTCTCTACCTGCCCGTGCGGTGACAACATTCTTAGGTTCACCTTTTCCAAGCCGTAGTAACGCCACGCCTCACTTCGGACTCTCCACCCAGTGAAAAACATCTGTGAATGAGTTTTCTGACAGCCTTAGTCCAGTCGGTATATGGACTTCATATACCTTCAGCTATTTCCCTCCCCAAGCACCGAACTCTGGAAAAAGTTCACTTTAGTCCGTCAGTCCCCTGCTCCAAACCCAGCCGGGGCTCCCAAAGAACGCGTGTTTAAAGGTTACCAACCTTTAACCAAGTAACCGAGCTGGGAGAAAGACGGGGCGGCCTTGGGGTCGCGGAGAGCTGTCCCCCTGGTCCAGGCCTCCGCCCGCGTGTCCCGCCCCCCGCGAGCCCTAAGCCCCCGTGGGAATCCCACGCCCCTCGCGTCCACATCCCCCGCCCATTTACTTGGATTCGTCTCCGCATGTGTCCCTGCCATTCACGCTGCACTAACAGAGTCTCGTCCGCTTCCTCATCAAACACATCCTGATCTCCAGGGCTCGGGACCTCGGGAACCCCTCGAACCCAAGACATCTCCGAAGAAACCACGAGCCCCAGAGGCCCGGAGGCCCGGAAGCGGCCGCAAGTGCTTCCGGCCTGGGGGCGGGGCCAAAGGGTAGGTGTGGAACGAAGCGGCGCCTGCGTCTGGTCCTGCAGCCCTGCGACTGGGGAATGCCGCTGTCTCCTCCCTCGCTTTTTAGTCCGGCGGCGGGATAGGGTGGGGTGGGTGTTGGGAGCTAAGACCCACCATCCCAGAACTGAGACTCAGTTTCTGCGTGTGCTGAAGGCCTTGGCTACCAGCGAGCAGCCGAGGACATTGGACTATGAAAGCTGATTCCGCGGTCAATTTTAGATTAAGTAATGTGAACACTTTTGTAAAAGCAGCATCCTTTGTCAGTTGTCCTCTCAACCTTTCCGCTCTTGCTCTGCGAGCTTGAGAGTTTAGGAATTTGGCTTCTGGCCCAGAGTGCATGTTGAAGAACTGGACACCAGCGTTCTTGTTTTAACTTTTGTATGAGAAATATGAGTTATATGATAATTTTTCTGAAAAGTTTTCTGAAATACCTGTTTTTTGTATTAGACATCATTTTAGGCCTTTGAGGGACTGCACACCATAAGCAATAAAACAATAATAAAAGTTCTCTCCCTGAGTTCTCAGGCCCTGTGGACTTCCTATTAGTGTAAAAATGGCAGTTGACCAACAATAATATATAAGTAATTCATAGTTTGCAGATGTAAATGATATGAAAAAGTTCTACTGTGGGAGAAGACAGGTTACTATTTTAGTTTATTTTATATTTTTGTGCTGGGGATTGAACCCCAAGCCATACAAATGTGGAACACGTGCTCTGTCAATAAGCTATTCCCTGCAGCTCCAAAGTTACTGTATTACATTTTCAGGGAGAATTTGTATTCTGTAAATATGTGTATAAAAGCAAATATAAAATGTTAATGTGCGATTATCTAGATATTAATTAGACATAAAATGGTATGAAGGGAAGCAATAGTGATAGTGACTGAAATGAATAAAATAGAAATGTTGTACCCAGATCATGACCTCCAGAGAGAGACCACCAGAGAGAGACCACCAGAGAGGCCCAGACTGTAATAAGCAAGGTTTAATTAGCATAATACAAACATGTTTGGATCTCATCTCCATCCCCGTTACAACAAGGTAGAGAGGAGTTGTATCTCCTCTGTGGGGTAAGCTTTTAAAGGCATAACTACAAAGAGAATCTTTGAAGATGCTTTGGCACAGGTACAAGGACTTTTGTTCCTTCCCATTCTGTTAAGTCAGCATTTTCCTTGTTCTTAGAGCAAGGCCACTGTTTCTGAGTTATACCATCTTTATCAGCCTGTACCAGGTGGCTGGCTGGGCTGAGCTAAGTGACCTCGTGCTCAGAATCTCCTGGGTGGGAGAGGGGAAGGCCACTATCTTCCTGGGGAAACATTCTGCTAGAAAATTTCTTCTTGCCCCTTTGAGACTAAGGGGTGAGGGTCCCGCAGAAAACCCAAAAGTCCTGACGGTGAGTTGGCTCAGTAGGCACTTGCCCTCAAGCCTGAGGAACCGGAGCAATCTCCATGACCTATGTGATGGAAGGAGAGAACTAACTCCTGAAAGTTGTCTTCTGACCTCCACATATGTACGGTGGTGCGCGCGCATACACACACACACACACACACAGAGTATGTAAATAAATGCAATAAAAATAAAACAACACTGGCATATTAAACCCTATAAAGGCCTGGGGCTGGAGCGATGGCCCAGCAGTTAATGCTTGCGACTCTTCGGGAGGATGCTAGCTTAGGTTTGAGCATCCACAAAGAGTAGACGGCTCACAACCACCTGTAACTCCAGCTCCAGGGATTCTGAAGCCCTCTTCTAGCCTCCAAAGGTACTTGCACACACACATACACACATGTATACAAACACATATATGTATAAATAAAAATAAATCTTAAAATATAAAAAGAAAGCAAATAACCTCTGTGTTTTTCTCATTATAAAAGAAAACTATTAAACAAGACAAGAATTAGGAAGTAACCATTAATACAGATGAAAAACACAATAAATTCAAACTCAAGAACAGCACATGTAGTGTTTTAAGACAAGCTCTCAGTAAACTGGAAATGTAGCAGAGGATGGGGATGATTTTGAACTTCTGATTTTTCCATCTCTAACTCCTGAGTGCTAGGTGTACAGGTGTGCATCACCACGCCCAGTTCTGTGGTGCTGGGGATTGGACGCAAGGCCTCTAGCATGCGCTCTACCAGCTGAGCTGCTTCTCCAGACCCTTATGTGATTATCTGCTCCTTAAAAGGTGAAATGTCTGAGCCTTGGCTCAGTCATTAAAATGATTGCTTTACAAGGATAAAAGTATGAATTAGAGCCCAGAACCCACATACAAAAGTGAGGTATCGTAATTGTATCTGTAATTCCAGATCTCGGGAAGCGAAGGCAAATGGAATCATGAGGCCTTTGACCAGCCAGAATAGTTTAATTGGCGAGCTACTCCTGTCCCCCTCACCCATATGTCAGAGCACCTGACTATTCATAAGAATGCATATGTGTGTACACTCCCACACACATTGATTGTCTTATCAGAAGTTATTTTAAAATGATTTCCATGTTATCACAGGTAATGTTGCAATTTATTAAAGATGAAAGCAAAACTTTATACTAATGTATTCAACATCTTTACTTATTTTTCCATAAGTGATTAAACCTTAGCTGTATTACTTGATACTGTAGGAAATGTAGCATCTTCAGTGTCTTTCAATTTTTACTGACATTTTGATTTAACTGTTGTCAATGTTGGTAATGCCACTTCAAACAAAATGTTAGAAGTATGTCTAGAGCTATTTCCAAAGTTGTTGGAAATTTTGCCCTCATCCTAAAGCAAAATTCATTTAACAGTTTTCATGAAATGCCTCTGTGGCTCAAACAGCTATTTCAAAACCAGACATTTTAATACAGTGCAGTCTGAAGATAGACTAGTTGATACCCGCATGCTGAGACATGAGGGTAGGGAGTATTGAAGGTTGTTTTTGTTGTATTTATATAGAAGCAGAAAGCAGTATGTATAGTAAAAACACTTCAGTGTCTAGCATCCAATAGTCTTGATTCTGGCCCCAGGTGTTTGAGGCAGTGTTCAGTGGCGCTGCGTGGCATGGTGACTTGTGCAGTACACAGTGTGTTCGCTGTGTGTTCAGATCAAAGCTGCGGCGAACCTGAATGATACAGCACTAGCAGATGCTGCCAGAACACCTGTGACTCCTTACACATTTGGAGTTTTGATTGCTGTGTTCAGAGACCTTTCACTGTTGCTAATGTTTCCACGACTCAGTTTCAATTACTTGATCTCCTGATTAAAGAAGATCTCATGTGTGTGTGTGTGTGTGTGTGTGTGTGTGTGTGTGTGTGTAAATGCACATGAATCTATGCAGCATATCTCTATGTAATGTGTGTGCAGGTATTTGTGTACATATGTGTCATATGCGGGTGAGTACAGGCTGGGGGTTAATATCTGATGCCTTCCCTAATCACTCTTCACCTTATCTTTTAAGACATAGTTTCTCATGAATGGGGTAGACTGGTTGGTCAGCGAGCACCAGGGATCTGCCCCACTGCTACCTAGAGCTACCACACCTGACTTTCTGTGTGGTTGTTCTGAAGCTGAGTTCATGTCCTCAAGTGTGCACAGCAGGCACTTTACCAACTGACCCATCTCAGGCTCTTGTAGTATTTCAAAAAGTTCTCTGTGGATTCTGGACTTAAGACCCAAGTCAGATGCATGTATGCAGATGTATTCTTTGCACTGCTTATAACCATTAGGAGGCAGAGTTAGGAATGTATGAGAGTACTGGGACCCAGGAACATAATGCATGTGCAAGAGACCAAGGAGAGGAAGACTATGCAGAAAGAAAGCTTTCAGAAAGTGATGCTGATCAACTTCTGTGACAAGGAAGGGAGGCAGAACCGGAGTCCTGGGCTGCAGTTTCATGCTGTCTTAGCTAATGTATGAAAAGCCCTGCAACAAAGAACAAGGAAAATCATACATTTGGGTCACATGGACGTGTCATGCTCCCTTGTCAGCTTAGTTATGCCTGGGGAATATCCTGGAACCGCGTGGCCTTGGCTAGGAAGCTGCAGCCGATCCCATAAATACTCTTGCCTTCAACAGTCAGGTGATCTTTCAATGTCCTTTTGTGTGTATTATTCTATTGTTTCCAAAATTGCATCCCCACTCTTTAAAAGAAGAAAAAACCTCATAAATAACTATGACACCCTTGCATAAATTTTGTTGTCATGATGTGAACTTACCCTGGAGGATTTAAGAACTGTATCTTGCAGCTCAGTGTGTCTCATATAAACACACTCTAATGGGGTCAGCCTTTAGGCTTCACCATATGCTTCTCCTCAATCTCCTGCTTGTCATTCATCTTTGTCTTTACTTTCAAAGACTCCAACAATTCTTCTTTATGTCTTTTTATTTCTCATCTCCTGCTGACTTTCATTTTTTATCTTGGCTTTCCACGCTTTATTTGTGCCTCTTACAAAGTGCTCTTTGATAGTTGACGTAATAAACTCCAACAGGGCACAAACCTTTCTTAAGGTCTCCCCAGTTTCTGGCTTGGGGGGCACTTAATCATTTAGCCTTGGTAACTGGGCAGTGGAAGATTCCTTTAAACCAAGGAAAGCTGGCTTCCTGTTTGTTCCTCCTAAACTTGCAAATGTTGTCTTTAGTGTTCAGCAATAGCTTCCCATGTACCACACTGAATTGCTTTAATCAAGGGGGTGCTAAGGTTACGTAATATGTGAAAAATTGAAATGAGTGGTGAAAAAAGGTTGGAGCACATTAGCAATAGAGAGAGCTTGATGGCGGTGAGGCTGGTGTGGGGGTTCTAAGCAACGGACTCCTTCATTTTAGCTTTGTCTCTGGAAATTCAAGCCAATCCTAATATCAGAGTGGGGAGGAAAAGTACTTTAAAATCCAGGACAGCCAATCCTAATATCAGAGTGGGGGAGGAAAAGTACTTTAAAATCCAGTACAGAGCACTTGGTGACCACTGAAAAGGATGAGGGGGGAATGCCAAAC